AAAATATGGGACGGAAGAAAAATAAGATCAAAGGAAAGAAAAGTGAACGCAGTGTGTTTGATGTCTACAGCTGAATATAGCGTAATATACCGTGAAACCTCCAACGGAGCCACCGGATCCAAAAAATCTCGGGGGTCCCAACGAGATCTTTGCGCCGTACAACGTAACTCGTCGCGCTGATTCCGAATATGCAAAAATCTCGGTTGACGCATCTCTAGAAAAAAACCATCAAATTTTGATATGAGGAGGCTAAATTAACGTTAATTAGTACTAATTAGTCAACACCAGGAAGGAAAGAACAAAAATTCTTGCATATTTTCTCGTAATAAATATTCTTCACACATTTCTCTATCGATCTAGGCAAGAACCAAGCTTTTGTGATGAATGGAGAATGGACAGGAATTCTTTTAATAATAATCCGTTGTTCAAAAATTTAACAATATTTTTTAAGCAATTAATTTTTTTCTCACGACCAGATAATGTCAGTAAGCCGAAAAAACTTCAGGACATATACTTCGAAGTGTCCTCTACAAACTGGAAACGTTAGAGAAAAATCTAAATGGGGGAACCACCCCCTTAATCGTTGTCGAATGAATCCCAATTTTCCTTGATCACTGTCTTCTTGATATTGATCAGTTTTGAAATTATCAGCTACTGTTTTAAATTCAGTAAGTGCTTCAAAAGTAAATTTTAACGCAATTTTGAATGTTCTGACATTGTTTTGAAAAATACCCCACTATGGGACACTGTTTGAAGCCACTGTCAATATGAAAACTGAAAGATAGTGTTCCATAGTGGGACACTTTTCAAAGTATCCTATTCATCGCCCAAAAAAGTGTCCTGGGACATTATTTTAAGTTAATTCAAGCTCATCAACAATTTTAAGAACAACGGCTGAAAAATAAATGTTCAAAGATAAAATCAAATCCAACTGTCAATTGTTCGAAATTAGTAGGAAAAGACAGTGGTAGTTCCAAGCAGAAAATTTTTGATCTTTCCGAAGAATTTGCATTATATCGATCGTTAGCCAGTAAAGAAAATGGAAAATAAGTGAGTATTCATTTTCTATTCGATAATGTCTTTTACCTCAAGAGCGGTTTTTTATTTATTTTTTAGAACACCGAAAAGAGAACGGTAAAACTATTTATGTTTTAAGTTAATTGTTTAATCCCTTGCCATAGAATGACGTGATGCTCACGCTACGAACTTCTTTCTTCTGAGATGGTTTAGTATATATTTTTTCTGTCACAGAACTACTTAGCAGCTTTGATTTGCACATAGATAGATAGTTTGAGGTGCCTGTCATCCCATCCAGCCAAAACTAAATTTTCAAAGTTAGATTAAATGGTTATAAATTGCTCACAAGATAAGGGCTAAAACTATTTTTAGAAAATAAAAAAAAATTTGGCATCTAGAAGCCCTTTGGTGGAGGATTTGATTCTGTATCTGACGGTGTATTTTTCAGAATTTCGGAAAAAAATATCTAGGTCAGGAAAATAAAATTTAAGTTTTCACCACGAAGATTTGATTTTCATTTGCTTCTGAGTCCAGAAATCACTGTGAAAAACTGCGTCTAACGATGTATTTTTAAGCTTTGTTCAAATTTAAACAAAAATTCGAACCTTCTCATCCGAAAAGATTTTCACTTTGGGTATCTTGAATAGGGAAAATAATACTATGTCAAGGGGTTAATCGAACTTCATTCAAAGTTCGCAATATATTCAGCATATAGGCAGTTCGATCTCCTTGATCGAGGAGCCAGTTTTATCATTAGAACACGCTTCTTTAATGAACACTGAACTTTTTAAAAAACCTCTTCAATTCCTGTAAACTTTCAAAGGTTAAAAAAGTTGGAAAGAACGTGTCTGGGAAATTCAAACATCTCACCATATATGTAAGTTGACACGGGCAACAAAGTGATGTAAAAAACTAGGGTGGGTCCGCCACCCTTAAGAAAGGAAAAGAACTTTCGATAGAAGGTTTCATTAAGAGCATATTCCTCATTTATCAATTCCAAGAAAAGACGTTTCTAGTGAACTTTAAAGATTGTGTTGGATGTTAGTATACTCCTCGACGAGCTCATTCGAGTGGCTATATAGGACTTTTATCTGGAGAACTTGTAGGTGTATTTGTTTGTTTTCACATTGGCACACTGATGTCATACATATTTAACGTTTCTTTTACGGTCCCCCTGCCTCAGAAATGGTGATTTTCGATCAAAAATTCGGTTTTGAAGATATGCACATGGAAAGATAGCCTAAAGTGTCTACTTTCAGAATCTGTATCGCTTTTGGTTACAAAAGTAATTTTCCGCGGGTTTTGAGTAAGTTTTGTAGAAGCCTCGAAAAACTGGTTCTTTCCCGGATACTTATGCAATCAAATCTTTTCTAAACGCACAGATTTGTAGAGCAGACTTTTCTGATCAAAATAAGACCTTGCACAACTCTGTATGACCTTGCATCAAAAAGGTACAAGCATTTTCCTACAAGTCCTAAAATTGAGCATTTTATACAGCGTTTTCTCTATATAAGAGTTATACGTGCAGTATTTCCCGAGATTTTTAATAGCGGTTTGTCGTAGTGACTTCATTCTTGTTTTGTTTAAAGGAGGAAAAGAAACTACCTGGAGTGACTGGCGCCGTTTTTTGAATTAGGTCTTAGACATGGAGACAAAAAGATTTTTTCATTCCCGTAACTTACTAAACCTAACATTGATGGAAATTTTGACCAGAATTGGATGTAGGGTGTCGGAGATAATTTCTGAGGGGGATCCTTGAGGGGTGTGATAAAAGCTCTTTTCCATGAAAGGTGAAATATGCAAACTTTTTGTAAACGAGGTATGTTTATAATATTCATTTTTGTTCCTGCATATTTGTACACAGGTAAAGGCTTTTTTTGCGTAACGGTTATTAATTTGCATCTTGAGAGACTGATGTCATGATTATGTAGCATTTTTTTAATTTTTTTATTTATCCGCGAAGAAGAAAGACAAACATTGGCAGAAATGAAAAAAGAGTCAGACTTCCTCCATTCTGCATGACACATGCTCAAATGCCGCTCTAATCATAACTTTATTGGAGGAACGAGAGGGTTCACGTTGATGTGCGGAAGATTCCTTTGAATCTGAACCGTTTTTCCATTGAGAACTAACTTCTTCAGCACATTGAATTCGATGGTTTCGCTCAGAGCATCTTCCTCATTGATCAATATGAGAGAAACAAAATGTGGCACTAGATTAATAGAGAGAAATGTCTCTAAAACTGTTGTGTGTGTTAGAAAAACTGCATGCGATAGTTTCAGAACACAATTTTTTAAGAGCAAACATTTTTAGTTCTATTTTGGTTCTATTATTAACGAATATGACACACATATGAGATATATGCAGTACAAAAAAGCTTATACATTTCTTCTATTTATTCATTTAACTCTTTCGGGACCGGTGACGTTTTAGAACGTCATTGAAATATCACGTGATCTGACGCGTCAGAATTCGAATTTTTTCCGTGTCTCTTGGAAGTATACATTGCGTCTGCTTTTTTTACACTTTCGTGCTTCATCAGTTTCATTCTAGATATGGCTAGAGGGTCAGATGAATCTGGAAAAAATAAATCATTTTTGAAAAGTTGAAAAATTTGTAATTTTTGCTCAAAATAAGTTGACTCTGAAAGGGTTAATCCTACCCTTCCAGTGATTATTCAAGAAATGAAGGTCAACGTTTGGAAGTTTTGACGTATAGCTAGCTATTGAGAACTTTGAATAGGAATTATTTGACTTACAACGTAAGCATACCGACGACCGCTTCATACGGATGAAAGATTCTGTACTGTTAGGCGAATGACCATCAATCCATATTTACAATTCAGAAGATGAATTGTTTTATATACGATGATAAATGGAATTCATGTTGGTGAGTATGCAGGAGTGGATACATGGTGTTCTGAATCGAACGACGTTAAACGCACATTTCAAAATATCAAGTCTGCTAATGCACCCTTGGAGCTTGTGTTTACATTCGATATTATTTTGAAGATGTTAGTGTTTTGTGTGCAAACAAAACTGGAGATTGATCAGAAAAGACGGCAAAATAGCGAAACAATATGGAATGATCGGCACATATAATTGAAATGATTTAACCTCTAGTAAAAATTATAGCCACTTCTTAAAAATATTTTACTTAGATATTATAAGATCTTATTTTTTAAGATTTTGATTCAGATCTGAATAATATTTGATGATTCCTCTTCATTCTTCCTTTTCGGCTGTTCTATTAAATGCTATGTAAACGAAACCTTTTTCAAATGCAACCAAACAAGGTTTGTTTCTTTTATCTGTATATTCCAAATGACAAACACAGCGCTATTTCTGTAGAAAAATCTAAAATATTTCTTATGTGAAATGAAGTGGAATGAAGATTGAGAAAAGCGATTTTGCAATTGCTTACAATAATGGTGTTATGGATTACTTTTAGCATAATCATGAAAACCTATTATTTGATTGTCAATACTTGAAGTAACTTGTCCAATTGAAACCTCTATTATACATATATAAAACAGAAAAGATTATGAATAGGAAGTTGTAGTCGATTTAAACTTTCAAGTGTTCAGTCTACTCATATTTTTTCTTGGAAATAACTATAATTACATTCGATTTAAGCGTCATATACCATTAACCATGTATTGCCCTTTTAATGTTTTGTATAAAAACAGAATTTTGTGATGATAAGTGCAGAAGAAAAACGCAATGTTATGCAAAGCATCATTCAACTGAAGGAAATGACATCATTTGAGACATTTTCGTTTCTGAATGTGACTTTCTGATCAAGTAAGAAAAACATTTAAAGGTTGACAAGCAATAAAATTTGTTTATTACATATTCAACTTAGAAAGAAAACACAGGTAAAGAATGAAAAAATTTCTCATATGACATTGAGTGACTCAACTTACCATAGGAAATAAAACAGCGAACTGCTGATATTTTGTCTTCTAAAAGCGAATAATAAAAAAAGATCGTTTACTAGACTGGTGTTTAATGTAGAAATTCGTAGAACATAGTACGTGCTTTTCTGTCTTCCTACAAACATTGTCGCTTCTGCAGTAATCGATATATTACTAAAGCTTTTTGACTTGAGTATTTTATCATTCTCTTACATGGAATGAATTCTATTAAACTTCTGACCAGAGAACTACCTGAAGTATCGAACGGTTTTCTTTTTGAAGCATACTGAATTGAATGTAAACTTTGATGGTGATGACAAAGATACCAAGAGTCTCGTATCTCAGTAAAAAATCATTCGTTCTTTCAGATAAGTTTTTCAGACGGGCAGTTTTTAATTGGTGCATTGCATTTTGTTACCAATTCAGTTTTAAGAGCCCATTTCTAGAAACCAGTAACTTTTATGCCTGCTTATCTCCAACTTAGAGTTTTGTATAACGAAAAATCTGACCGTCGTTATACCCCTTTCATACACTGGTCACACGAACTTGATCTCTGCGGACGAACTGCACAAATCAACTTCGTCGTTCTTTCCTATATTTTGCACGATGATTGAAGTTGTGCAATGACCCGATGTTATCCTTCAATGTATATTTTTTTGTTTTGGTTTAAAGCTCAAACCAAAAGAGTCGTTTTTATGGAATTTCCTGCCCCCGCCCCCTAAGATCATTTGGTTTCATCTGTTTTCAATTTTCATTTCGATGTTGGATTAAGAAAGTTTTACAAAATCTTTTACAAGCTTTGTCATTTTTTTTTAGATTCAAAAGTTAGCGAAGGTGCTTGGAAGACAAATGCGTAAGAAAAACAAAAGTGTTAAGATTACTGAGTCTAATGGTGTGTCTGGTAATGGACATGTTCACGATCAGAAATCCTATGTATCGAACAGTAATCCAGTTGTGCGACAATTAAGAATGTTAGAAATTGTAAGTATAAGAAAAATTCCCTATGACATTCTTTTGTCTTTAACGTTTGCTTTAGTATAAATTTGCTGATTCGATTGATGTTTTAATCATGACACTAGGCACAGCAGCAGCGCTGGCATCGGGTGCATGTTTTCCACTGTTATTACTTGTCTATCAGAATGTGACCGATGCATTGGTTAACTATGGAAAATTACAGCAAATAGCTGACTACGGTCTGCAAAATTTAACTAACGTGTCTTGCGAAAATGGAGGGTAAGAGTTCTTCAAGTCAGCATTTTCGTATCAAACATCCAGTTTATATTTGATCAGGTTTGCTTTACCAGATACTACTACAAGTCCAATAGATGCCATTCAGAATGTGGTGAAATGGTATATTGTGTTGGGATTTTTAAGTATTCTATTTTATACGATTGCTTTCTCATGTTATATGGTATCTGCTGAAAGACAAATTAGACGAATACGGTTTGAACTTAAATTTATTCGAAAATATACGGTTAACCACCAATATCGGTCTATTTAGATTTCTTTTGTTTCGAAATATATTGCACCAAGAAATGGCTTGGTTCGATGTGTGTGGAAAGGGAAAATTGGGTAATATGTTAACAGATGATCTGGTTAAAGTGAATGAAGGAATTGGTGATAAAGTTGCCGACTTTCTGTCATTGATAGCAAGAATGGTTGGTTGTTTAATATTCGCACTGATTAAAGGATGGAAACTGACATTAGTAATTCTTGCCGTGGCGCCTCTTGTCATAGTAGCGTTTAATCTGACTATACAGGTATTGATATCTATTGAGGGCTACTGGAAGAAAACGCATTTGCTTCTTTTAGTTAACTATTAAATACAATATAAAGCAAATAGAAGCATATTCAACAGCAAATGGGATCGCTCAGGAAGTATTCACAGCCATTCGTACCGTTACAGCATTCAATGGACAAAAGAAAGAACAAACAAGGTTCTCCGATTTGCTACGTATCTTGAAACATCACTTAGCTTCGTTCCTTTTGTAGATATGCCGAAAGTTTACAAAAAGTACCATTAATTGGCATTAGGAAAGGAGTTATAATTGGTTTCTGTCAAGTATTTTCGAATTTGGCTATTGGAATTGTCTTTACGGCTGCTCTTTGGTACGGACAGTACCTAATTAAAACTGAATGTCGAGCTTATTCTGCTGGTATTCTCGTCGTCGTATGTATAGCCCTATAATCTCTGTTGTGCATAATAGGCATAAGAAAAATTTTAGATATTTATCGCTTGTTTGAATACAACATGGTGTCTCAGTCAGATTGTACCCAGTTTAGAAAAATTTGCTGAAGCAACAGCGTCAGGCAGTTTTATTTTTGAAATCGTAGCACGAGTATGTTTATGCATAAATAAAGCGTTTGTTTTCACTGTAGTTTTTGTTTGCGTAGAAATCAAAAATTGATTCATCGAAAGAAAAAGAAGGAGAAATACCGAGCACTTTGATCGGCGATATCGAGTTTAGGAATGTTTATTTTACTTATCCTGCACGAGAAGACCAAACGGTTAGTTCTTTCACGTATTATAACAGTGATTCAATTAAACGAAAAACATGTGTCAATAATAGGTTCTCCACGGTCTCAACATGAAAATTCCACACGGGAAAACTGTCGCTTTGGTTGGTTACTCAGGCTCGGGAAGTAAGAATTCAAAATAATTCAAAAGATAGCTTAATACAAATCTTAAGTTAAGATTTTAAGATTTGTAACAGTTCCAGCTCATAAGTTCAGCTCATTTGAGCGAAAGAACTGTTGAACAGTTCTTTTGAAAGGAGCTGATATGTTCGAAGAGTTCTCTTGAAAGGGGCTGATATGTTTGAACAGCTCTTTGGAAGGAACTGATATGTTTGAACAGCTCTTTTGGAATTTTAAAAATTGAAATTGTTTGAAATTTTTTCAACGACTACTGATAAAGCTTTCACGCTGAAGCAAGAGCCTGCTCAACCCGAAGCACTGAAGAAGAACGGTCATACATTTGCATCATTCTGGAGAAAACATTCAACTTTACTTCCAATATTGAACCAGATGGCACGTCGATTCGGTCCTATACCCGCAACCTCAGTCCCCAATGAGAGCGCATTCTCAATCGCAAGCTATGTTGCTCGAAAAACACGGTCTTCTCTCTCAGCTAAAAACTTGAAATATTCAATGTTCCTATACGATAAACTTTAATCTTTTCTTTAGTCTGCTTTTCTTACAAAGATCATACTTCTTTTATTTTACTTTTTAACCATACTTATCTGAGGAATAAAAAATTGACCATTTTACATGCTTCTATTTATGATTGCAGGACTTCGCTGATATGAACGTCTAATGAACATTCGGCACGTTTAAACTTTGTCTAGACGACTAGTGAGTCGAACATATCAGCTCCTTTCAAAAGAACTTTTCAACAGTTCCTATGATAGGAGTTGATATGGAACTGTCATACCCCTAATCTTAACAATAAGGATGCCTAAATCAGATATATCTGTCTATCTAAAGATACTTTCTCTTATCACTGAAAAAAATAAGATACCCCTCTGACGTATTGAAGTTTTGACAATGAGGATAAAAAATTCATCATTTATCTTGAAAACTAAACCTATTTCTTCTTGATCACTCAAACTTATATGAGCCTCAGTTGAATAATTAAAAGAACTATGTGAATATTATTCCGTATAATATTTCCGTTACCCTATAAGCGACATGGCCTAGTCTGCTTTTGAAATGTATAAAAAATACTTGGGAACTAATCAACAGTGTCTGTAGGATAAACTATTTCTCACACTAATAAAAATTTGTGTTCGTCCGTTCTTTGGAGCGCATGGTGAAGCACACGAATGTGTTCTTTGAAAACTGAAGAACAGAATATATGTTCTTCAGCCTGATTTCACGTTTTTGTTCTTTAGCAGAGTTTTTGTTCTTCAAAAAATTAGTTCTTCGTTATTATAAAGAACAAAAAACGAATTCTTGTTCTTAAGAAAACATAATTTTTGTTTCCCAGCTTTCTGAAGAACGTAAATCATATTCTTGTTCTTTAGAGAACGTAGTTTTTGTTCTTCAAAGAACAAGAATCCACAGTCCATTAAAATATTCGTTTATGAAAATGCGTGTATCGGCGCAAATTGAGGAGAGGCCACGAATGCGATCAAATGGTAATAACGACTGTCTTCTACAAACATAAAACAATAAACAAACAAACTTTTTTTTGAGAGCTGCATGATTGTCCTCAGTTTTTGTTGAAATCTTTTCTGTCAAATCATTGATTTTTGGATGATTCTTCTTTCAGATTCTGTTCTATCGTAGTTTTATCTGTTTGTTTTCATTTGTGCTAAAGAAGGCATTTAGAAGTAACGAGGAGTTCTAGACTGTGAGGTGTAATTATGTTGTTTTAGTCTTCCAGTTTGATCTTCTGGCTTTGCCAATTAGCTATTTAGACTATAAGAGAGAGTTCTGAGATTTCTTTTTTTCGTGTGTGTTATCTAGCTACCATTATTCTTAATTCTCCATGCTTGTTCGTCTGGCAGTTATGGCATTGTGGTTTCTGCCTATTTTTATTATTTTCTCAACCATGTAGTTGAGTTGAGCTGTGGTTGATTACTTTATCGAAGATTAGATTTTCTAAGTGGTACTAGCTAGCTCAACCCTCTCTAATCTGATACATGCTGCTATATTAACGGTTGTTTCATTCATTTACACATTCTTCTTGTATGCTGCTCACCAAGTGAGCTGTTCTTTTTTACTCTTTCTGACATTATTTTCTCGTTTATGCTACATTACGTTTAACTAAACGTATTTTTCTGTTCTTTTGCGAGAAACTTTTCTTACTTTATACATCGCCTTTCTGTTTATTAATGCAACTCACTAATAATTTCATTGCATTTCAACTCACTAATATACCAACAAACTCACCTAAATCTTCTAGGACAGTAGCTCTATATATGAAAAGAAAGCTACCTTCTTAAAGTAAATGGAACCATGAGGATCTGAGTTCTTCAGTCGATATGTCTAAAACAGATATAAAACAAAAAAAATTTTGTTCTCTAAAGAACAAAAACTATATTCTTCAATTTTTTGGTAGTTCTTAAAAAATGAGTTCTTCAGAGAACAATTTGTCCCCTATAGAGATCATAAATCTGAAGATCAACTCTTTTGTTCTTCAGAAAGTGTGATCTTCATCATTTGTGTTCTTCAGAGGACACAAAACTTGTTCTTCAGTTTTTTTGGAAGTTCTTGAAAAGCATGTTCTCTGAAGAACAAGTCCCCTATAGAGATAAAAAGCTCAAACAACAACCATTTTGTTCTTCAGAAAACTGAAGTTTCTTGTTCTGTAAATCTTTGGAAAACACAATTATGATCTCTATAGGGGACAAATGAAGATCATTTTTTTTGTTTTTTGAAGAACACAGATTTTTTCCTATAGGAAAAAATATCGATATCGACAAGAGAAACTATGCAGAACAACTCGAGCTTTGATCGTACAAACGAAGAACTAAAGATCTTAAAGGCCCTCCTCCCTCAGAAATTATCCCCAACACCGTACATCCGATCTCGACAAAATTTTCCAGAAATGTTAGGCATTATGAGTTACAGGAATGAAAATTTTGTTTTTTCTACAAGTCTTCCCATGTTTAGGAGTTTCCCAGAGATCGAGGTCCAAAAAGGATCCCGAAGTATTTCTTAAGATTTTTTAGTATACTTCAAGCTAGAGAGTTCGGGTTTGTTTTATTTTAAAATAGACACCTAACTACATGGGCTAACCGGCGCTGATTTTACAATTAAGCCTGTGCTTGTTGTGTAGACAATTAACAACCTCAGAAACGTGGAAAACGCTTCCTGGTTTTCTAGAAATCCTCAGTTTTACGTCTAATTGAAAAATCGGCACCAGTCAGCTCATGTAGTTAAGTGTCTAGTTTAAAATAAAACAATCCCAAACTCCCTAGCTTTGAGTACACTAAAAAAAACTTGTGAAATACCTCAGGTGTAACTCCTATGTAGAGAAACTCTGTATTAAACGTTGTATAAAATGCTCATTTTAAGACTTGTAGAAAAATGCCTGTAATATTTTTATGCAAATGATACAGAGTTGTGTGAGATCTTATTTTGATCAGAAAAGTTTTCTCTACAATCTTACGCGCTCGGAACAAATTTAATTATATTAATATCCAGAAAAAAACTATTATTTGTAGACCTGGTTTTTTCGACGCTTCCAGAAAACTTGCTCGAAAGCCGCGAAAAATCATCCGAAATCATCATAGCAAGAGGTTTTTTCTTTTTTGTTTTGCAGAAACTACAACTCTGGCACTGATTCCACGCTTGTATGACCCTAACTTCAGCAAGAACGATCAAAAAAGTAAAGAATATGGACCAAGCTGTGGTGAGGTACATCAAGCGATGAAAAAATATCCGTTATTTGATCTAATTTGGGTATTTGTTTAGATTTATTTAGATAATCGTGACATCCGTAATCTTAATATCGAATGGTTAAGATCGCAAATAGGATATGTCGGTCAGGAACCGATTCTATTTGCCGGATCGATTCAAGAAAACATACGCTTGGGAAAACCAGACGCAACAAATGAAGAAATTCAAGCAGCGGCTAAAATGGCAAATGCGCACGACTTTATTACGAAACTGGCTGATGTAAATTCATACTTAAACAGATTATTACACATTCTATATTCGTTTCGTTTAGGGGTACAATACTGAATCGAAAGGGCGTCTTAGCGGTGGACAGAAACAACGTATCGCTATTGCTAGAGCAATTATATCAGATCCTCGTATTTTATTACTTGATGAAGCTACTTCTGCTTTAGGTAAAGACTTATATTGTGCATAAACATTTGTAGGATGATTCGTGTTGTAGATAGTCGAAGTGAAAAGGTCGTACAAGATGCATTGGATAAAGCAAAAGAAGGTCGTACAACTGTCGTGATCGCGCACCGATTAACAACAATTAGAGATGCTGATATTATATTTATGTTCGATCAGGGGAAAATAGTTGAACAGGGTACACACAATGAACTCGTACGACAAGAAGGCTTGTATTATCAATTGGCAAGCCAAAAAGCAGCTGAAGAAGAAGAACAGCCCGAAAACGAACAAACTGAAACCATAAGTAACTGTTCTTCCCCACTCGTTTGTATAAGACTAGGTTTTTCTCGTTCAAATAGATCGAGAGGCAAATTTAACCCCTCGTCGTATGTCATCGATTGAACTTGAAGAAAATGATGAAGATGAAAATCTAAACAATGTAGTCGTTCAAGAATCATCTGTAAGCGAAGCACCTCGTGCTTTTTTCCGACGGCCGTTTTCTTATAAACTGTTAAAACTCAATTCCCCAGAAAAGTGGTATTTATTAACTGGTTCGATTTGTGCTCTCTTATTTGGTGCTGTTGAGCCGGCTGTCGGTCTGGTTTATTCCGTTGTCTACGGGCTTTTAGCAAATTCAAACTTGGAAGAGCAGTCAACTCAAACAAGAAATTTATCACTGAGTATCTTTGGCATTTATGTGTGTGCCGGTGTGTTACAATTCCTCAGTACGGTGACATTTACAAAAGCGGGTGAAGAATTGACAATGAGAATGAGACTGATGACATTTGCAGCAATACTAAGGAAAGAAATGGGATGGTTTGATAAAGATTCGAATAGTGTTGGATCGTTGATCACACGTTTATCAAGTGACACAAGTGCATTAAAAGGTTTGACTGGAGTACGCCTTGGAGTTTTATTACAATCACTGGGTGCAGTCATAGCAGCATTTGTTATCGCATTTCAAGCAGGATGGAAATTAACGTTTGTAGTACTCTGTTTTACACCATTGCTGATTTTATCGGGTTATCTGCAAGGGCGAACGCAAACAAGAGCTGGTCATTCAAAAACAGCGAAATCATTTGCCGAAGAAGGTGGCAGGGTCAGTTTCATCTTAATATTTTGAATCAAACCTCAGTTTGTTTTTCTTTGCTTAGTATGCCGTTGAAGCTATCCAAGGTATTCGTACTGTGGCAACGTTAAATAGGCAAAAATTTTTTATTAAAAAATATGAAGATAACTTCAATAATGATTTCAGGTAAACATCCTTACATCTGTAATCAATTATTTAACAAAGTGTTCATGAGGGAATTGAGCATTGGCCAGCGGTTGCATGATAGCTAAAAATAGATTTCGTTAGCTCGATGGATATTGAAATACGACTGTTTAACAATCGTGGGTAACTTTTTAGATTCGAGGTTCTTTCCGAAACAAATTAATAACTAAGGCTAGGAACATTATTTTAACATACAAACTGCAGCATATACGCATATTCAGCAGCGTCTGCATATTATTTGCCCAAAGTTTCAGGGTTAACTATTGTGTGATTCAAGAAATCCATTGAGAATGAGCACGGACTATGCTCATTAATTTTGATTATATATACGTACTACAGTGAAAGCGTCGTAATTCAGTGTGGTAAAACTTTCTCACAACGTTTCATCAACTCACTTCTTGAATCATACAATAGTTAACCCTGAAACTTTGGACGAATAATCGGCAGACGTTGCTAAATATGTCCTGCAGTTTGTAAGTCAAAATAATGTTCTTAGCCTTAGTTATTAATTTGTTTCGAAAAGGACTTCGAATTAAAAAGTTACCCACGATCGTGAAACGTAGTTCTATGTCAGTATCCACAGAGTTAGTGAAAGAAAGGTATTTCATAGATAGATGAGAGTCGTGGCTACATTTTAGTTCAAAAAATAAATCTTTCTTCGATCAGAAGTTATTAACATTTCACCAAAAATCATGAACATTTATATTTCATGAGCCATCTAGTCAAAGAGTTCTATACTAGCAGGAGGGTCAGCATATAACTAGGCTTATATTCACACAACATTTTTAAGTCACTCGCCATTCTGTTATTTGAGATCAGGTTCTACTTTGGATCGCCACTGTATATATCTTAAAGTAAAACGCCAACTTTTTCGTACCTTAACAGAACGTAGGTGATATACTTCATTAGACATTGTTTTTAGACAAAACCTTTGGAAAATACAACTTCAAGCGTTAGGCAAAGCTATTGCCAATTCATGGCTGTACTTTATCCATGTCACAGCTTTCAGTTATGGAGCCACATTGGTGGAAAGGCATGAAATGATGTTTTCAGAAGTATTTCGGTAAGCAGTCTCAAAAATGACTGCAGAAGTTACGTACATACATTCTTTTGCAGTGTGTTTATTGTTATTAATTTTGCTTCGATGAGTGTCGGACGATCGACATCAGCAATGCCCGCTTATGCTAAAGCAAAAGCAGCAGCCTTGAGAATTATGCAACTAAAAAATCACAGATCGGAAATCGATCCTGATGATGGAAGCGGTCTCAAGCCGGTATGTATTTCATTATCATTGGAAGAATCGTGTTCTGCAGATACGTTGTTACTGTATTATTAATAGACCAAAGTTAATGGTTGTATTGAATTCCGTAATGTCGATTTTGAATATCCGGCTCGAAGAAAGATACAGATTTTGAAAAATTTCAGTCTTATTTGTCCCCAAAATCAGACAACTGCACTCGTAGGCTCTTCCGGATCAGGGTAAGCCATTTATCAAACAATCTATTATATGCATCTTTTCGATTGAATTGTTTTGTTTTTAGAAAGAGTACAGCCATTGCTCTACTGTTAAGATTTTACGATCCATCCAAAGGAGAAGTTTACCTGGATGGCTATAAGTTGAAATCATTGAATGTTCAATGGTTACGTTCGGTTATTGGTTTTGTACAGCAAGAACCGTTGCTATTTGGAGGAACGGTCCGAGAAAACATTGCCTATGGGGATAATAGTCGAGAAGTGCCATTTGAAGAAATCCAAGAGGCAGCCAAAAGGGCGAATATTCATTCAAGAATATTAAAGCTACCAAAGGTACTTTACTTAGCTCTGAATGAAATTTTAAAGGCAACCTTTTCTTTTTTGCTAGGGTTATGACACACCCTGTGGTACTACAGGTGATACACAATTAGCCGGTGGTGAAAAGCAGAGAGTTGCTATTGCTCGTGCCCTCGTCGGAAACCGGAAAATCTTGCTGTTAGATGAAGCAACTTCAGCTTTAGACAATCGTTCTCAACAGGTAAGCATGTTATAAATAAGAATATTTTTGTTAGGTGTATGTTTTATAGATTGTTCAAGAAGCAATAGATGAAGCTCGAGCAGATCGCACCTGTGTAACCATCGCTCATCGTTTAACCGCCATACAAAACAGCGAGAAGATCGTTGTGGTGGAACGGGGTCAACCACGGGAAGAAGGAACGCACGACGCATTGTTGAGACGACGGGGCTACTATTATAGATTACACAGAGCAACACAACATCAGGGAACTAATGAATAATTATTACTATCAGAATGTTTGGTAACGTTCTCGCTATCCGTGAGAGGTAGTGCATTGGTGAGTTAGCCGTCGATTATAATGACAACAAAGCTTATGATAAAGAAAATCTAGGAAAATTACTTTACTACTAATTTACATAATCATGAAATCATCAATAAAGTACAGTCATGAATTGGCAATAGCTTTGCCTAACGCTTGAAGTTGTATTTTCCAAAGGTTTTGTCTAAAAACAATCAGTCAAATTACGGATTGAGAGAGCATCTATGGGAAGGACACTAACATCCACTATTGATTAAAAAAAACACGGATTTTTTAAAAATATGCGCCGCCTATTCTATGCACCAATTACGTTAAGACAACCATACACAACGGGAGCACAAATCTCTCAAACTCATCGAAACACAGTTATAGATTTTTTTGTCGACATAGACCATTTACTATTACAACTTTGAGAGAAAAGCGATTACGATACTTTTCTTCTTAATAATGTGATCAAAGCCGAAACTTTACTTTATGTTATTGTTTATTTCTATCACTACGATCCGTGAATTGTTAATTTATCAGATTGTTAAGAGTACCCCTTCCCTGTTTTGGGGATTTCTGTAGAAAATAAAAGCCACTAAGGCTTCATATTTTGAGAACTGATTGGAAACTCAGTGAAGCACGTTTTCGTTTTTCTTTCCAGTTTTTAACTATTGCCGCTCACCATGATTTATCTTTTGGGTTTGAAATCAAAAGGTTCTCCTTTGTGATATAAGAATATCACGATTGTGTTTCCAGTTAGAGCATTTGTGCTTTTTTCAAGGGCTTTGTGTACGTTGTGTTTCGGTATGTTTCCTAGAGATCTCCGGGACGGTCCCGGTTCCACGCGGCTTTTAATGGGACCGAGACCAGGTTTTTTTGAAAATAGCCTTGTATAGAGTATCAAAATTTCTTAGTTTTAGTGCTTATTTGTATGGAGCCACTAGTTCTACGAGAAAAGACTCACACAAAATTCTAAAAGTTCTCAGTTTATACCACCCACGCATGCTGTTCCACGCCCCGCATTACAACGCGCTGACTTTCAAACTATCTGCGTTGCTTTGAAAAAATATTTACGGGATCGAGACCAAAATTTTTTTCTTCGTGGAACTGGGACCAAAAAGGTTTGGTCCTGCAGCCCTCTAATGTTTGCTGTTTAGTCACTCTAGCGTGTAAAAAAATTATGTTTTCATCAAAGATTCAAAACTAGTGAATTCTTATTGGCCGAATGACTAAGATCTGAATAAAAAAATATCGTGAGCTCGTATTCTTACTTTGAACCGATATTAACAATAAAAGGTTATCCTCAGAATCTGAGCACGTAGAGACGTAAAATAATTTTGCGTTTTACGGTTCTCACTTACTTGTAATTGAGTACAGTTTTGTTAAAGAAATAAAGGCCAAAATGGAAGGAAAATAATTTAAGTAGCTCAATTTTTGGTATAAGAAATTTTCTTTCAATTCTAGTGATCGTTACAATCTACGCTAGCAACTAAACCGATGAGTCGGCATTTACACTCCATCGACTACTTTGCCAGAGATTCGTTCCCTCTTTCCGAACAAGTAAATTCCTCCTTCAGTTTGCATTGGCAGTATACTCCGTTTCTCTTCCAGTTTGCTTTCTCGTTATTTATTGGCTGAACATTAGTTATTATTCAGGAAATAAATAAGGCAAGATGATTAAATTTCGTTTTTTTTGAGGTATCATCTTTGTGAGCCTCTCTACCACCGGCACGCTTACTTCGAGGATTTTTTGGAGCATGTTAAAAGTTTAAACCAAGAAAAAGAATATGCAGTACCTATAATAAACAGAATAACTGATGGAGATATAATAAAACAACATAGAATTAGTTGGCTTAGAGACAACCACACTAATTCAATAGGTTCAAAGAACATAGACAAACGCATCTGATGTGGTGCATCTACGTTCCTAACAATAAATTTAAATAAGCATGTACTGTATAAAACTTCATAGAACTTTCCTTTTTACAAGAGATTATTTTTAGACTGCCAGTAAACGGAAAAGCCAAAAACAGGCAGTTAACTGTCTGATTAACGGTCCATTTACAAACAGTTAACTGGCTGTTTTTTGGCTATACCATTTAGTGACCATTTTCACACAGAAATTTTTTAAGACCTAAAAACGGCCAATAAACCAGACAGTCTTTAGATGGATTTTAGACAATTAACAGTTTGTAAACTGATAGTTTTCAGATCATTTCTTTTCTGGAATAGCGTGTGGTCATGGACTCGCTATATTTTGTTTTAGAAAAAGAAAAGAGTTAACTAGGCGTAAATAAGCTGTAAGAAGGTAATTAAACGGAGTAGCTAAGTTTTGATTTCTTCGAAGTTTTGAAGATTAGAAATTAACGGTAAACCCATTTCTTAGTTTGTTAAATATGGAAGATCGACTCAGTGCCAAAGTCTTTCCGTGAAAACAATTCGGAAAGGTTTTAAAGAAGAAAAGAACCTTACGAAGGCGCATTTCTGAGAATCTGCCTTTTGTGGCAGTTGAACAATTTCTGTAGAACAGTTAGAAGAACTCGAAAAGTTGATCTTATTCATGTAGATTAGGCCGAAACATATTTTATTCAAAGAGCGCGCCATTCAAAACCTACACAACAGTGATTTTTGTTTGATGCATGTAGTAGTGACGTATATTTCAAAAGAGTGTTTCAAAAGAGTGAGAGAGCGATTTTGTCATGTAATAAGACAAAAGTCATATTATTTATTGTTTAAAATATCTTAGCAATCGGAACATTGTTACGTATTGGCGTTTATATGCTTGTATCTTTTTTCTTTAATGTTAATCTAATTTTTTACTTTCGATATGCCGATACTGTAGCTTCCTAACCCAAATTCGTCTTAATTGGCTTTGTTATTTGACATAGTGAATCTCTTCCCAAATTTATTTTCAAATTATTCGTGACGTTTCGTCATTCGACAAATGACTGTTTGAGACAGACTATTACATTTACACACTACAAATTTTGTCCCTAATATCAATGTTATTACTTGAAAAAACTTGACGAACTCGCCGGTTTCTACCGGTCTGGAAATATTTTTAGACCGGCCGGTAGCTGGCCGGACCGGTCTAGTATTTCCAGACCGGTTACCACCCTGGTCTACAATGCCTATTTACAGCCAGTAAACCGTCTTTTAACGATCAAGTTTCTCGTAAAAGTTGGATATACGAGAACGCGGTTTATTGGCAGTTAAACAACCACCTACTTATGATGGTCAAACCATGCAAAAAACCACCTAAAAACTATCTGAACGGTCTAAAAACAGGCAGTATGCTCCCTGTCAACTGGCAGTTAACTTGGCAGTTTCAATGTTCTGGGGAGTCTTTTACTCCAACAAAAAGTGAAAAAATATAAAAGAGTCGTTAGTTACACAATACTTTTATTGCTTTTTATCGCGACATGAAATTTATTGCGATAGATGCTTTTTTTATTCATCCGTCACCCATTTTTCGAGTATCTATCGCAACAAAAAATTCATCGCGATAAATCATAGCAAATTGTAATAGGATATATTTATCGACAGGTATCGCGATAGAATAGATTTCTGCAATGAAAACGTTGTTTATCTCGATGAATTTTTAATTTCGATAAATACTAGAAAAATAGGTGACGGGTGAATAAAAAAATCATCTACCGCGATAAATTTATCGGAAAAGCCTTCATGGGAATATAGGTGAACCATTTTGTGATCCGGACTCTAACGGTGGTTATACCACTAAATTAGGTGAGATGGACAATGGGCATGTATAGTACACGTTGAAATCAAAATTGTCATCAGTATCCAATACTATCATCTCCAATACTCATTTGTTATGACATCAAATCAATTTTTGACGTTGAGCATTTGTTGCTCCTTACGCATTTTTCCACTTGTGGTTAAACCAGTGTTAAAATGGTCCATGTGACCATCAGTTTTTGCCGAAACGTTGCGACGACCAAATCGATAGTGTGCGTAAGAAGTGGAAGGACATCACCAATTTTAAGAAACATAATTTAACTCATTAAAAAATAACTTAAGAACGTTTTATAAGAAAAAATATATATGTATAGAAGAGAGTCATTAATTTTTCAGTTGCTTTAACAACAATCTGCGCAGCACTCGGCACATTCTATCGCTTCGCAAACACAGCAGGCTGTACACGCAATACAACAGCTAAAAGAGAGAAGAGCTATGAAGTATTTAATCATAATCCAAGCCAGAAAGAAAGATGAATACTTACATGTCAAATAGGTCCCCTCCACCACGAAGTGGCTGTGAAGGATTTTTACTCATTTCTTCAGGTTTTACATCACCTTGGCTGATTTCTTGTTTTGGTTCAAACGTGATGATATTCTTCTTCACAGGTTCAATTGTTTTGCTAATTGTAACAATTTCCATATCGATGTGTGACTACGTTTGTGTATGTGTGTCCGTAATAAAATTAAAACATCATTTAAATAGGCAAAGTCGATCAGGCGTAACGCTGGCATTCTCCATACATCCGAAAATTATCCAAATCATCACTATTCTTCCTTCGCATCTTTACGTTTTATGACGTTATTTGAATACATTCAGCATCACACCTACTCATACCTAGTCTTAAGAAAAACCTGAAAAATAACAAGAACTATAATTAATATTTACCTTGTCAGATTTTTATGATTGATAAATCAATCAGTACATGCTATCTATATATTATTTAATTTTGACAAGGTGTAGATGAATTAGCCCTCCGTCCAGAATAGAAGACCATGGCATTCTATTCTGGGGGAGGGGGGGGGGGGGGGGTTTTGAAGCGCGACCGAGCTTGGGGTATAAAAATTTTGGGGGGGAAGCGAAATTTTGG